TTTCGTAAAAATACCTATATATCTTGCTGGTTATCATTCTAGAGGATTGACTGGTAGTAAATTAGCATCAAATAGGGAAGTATTAAAACTTCTTTTTTTAACATGCGCGTGGTTAAGTTACCCTTAAGGGACAGTGCTAGATTAACTATAAAAGAAGTTATCATATTTTGCCAAAAGGCACGAATACCAATAAAAGAACAAAAACATTGCATAAATAAATTAGAAAACCTATATCAAGAATGGAGAGTTTTGCAAAAACATCCTAATAGAAAAAACTTAAGAGATGAGTAAAAGCAGAAAAAAGTAGAAGCAGAATTCACAAAACGATTTGAAGCATTATTCGATTTGGCACATGCAAATGCACTTGAGATGATAACAATAGAAGACGATAAGAACTTTTTAATAAATCAATGGCGAGGGGGTCGATCTTCTGGTTATATGTATGGTTTAGATTATGAAGAAATTCGAAGAGAAACAAGAAGTGAGGAAAACAATCGAATGCTTTTACAAAGAAGAGAACGCTGCATTCGGCAATGAAAGGATTAGATAGTATTTCTTGCTTGATCTCCTAGAAAAGAAATTAAATTATTGTAACATTTTGATTAAAAACTGTCATTGCCGATGTCATGAGACAGTAAAAGTTCTACCAGTGATAACGAAATTAATAGGAGCAGGAGGAAATTTAGAAGTTGTAGATCAGAAGATTGCAGCTGTCTTTAATGCTTGCAAAATTAATGATCGTAATACTGTTCGTCTCATTATCGCCATAATCGAATCATTAGGATATGATCCAAATAGTTTTATTTTGAACAAAAATTCCATACGCATTATTCGATAAAACCTGCGATCACAATGAGTAGAACACTTAAAAAAAGTTCAAAGTTTGTCTTAAGTGGTTCTGTTGAGTAATTACAGAATGAAAAATGAAAAATGAAAAATGGTATCGGAAGAACACAGGCATCTGCTATTTGTAAATAAATTTTTGAATGGGGTTTGCAGGATCACGTGCAAACTTTAGTTTTTGACACGGCAGCAGTAAACCCTGGTCGTTTTAAAGAAACTTGCTCAGTTATTAAAAAACGTTTAGAAAAAGATCTTTCATATTTAGCTTGCAGACATCACATTTACGAAATTATTCTTAAAAGTGTTTCCATGCTAAGATTTCCAAGTGTGAAAGTTTTGGCCAGAAATAATCGTTGATGTCGGAAACAACCAGAATTATTAGAAGAAATATTAAATTACAGCAATTTTTGTAAAACTGAAGCGGACAGTTACATTGATAGCACTTGCAAACCTAGCAGTCGGGTGATTTCAGGTAATTTTTTCTTTTATTCAATAAATATTAAAAATACAGACAAACTTTGTATGATTGAATTGTTTATTTTTAATAGATCTATAACTTTTGGGAAGACAGTTTTAATGTAAAATTAAATATGTCGAAGATATAAGCAATGAAATATGAATTTTATTGTAAAAAAGGTTATTTTCCAAAATTTGAGACTCTTGGGGGGTCATTTCCACTTATCCAATTGAACTAAAATTTTATACAGATTATTTTTTTTAGTAAAATGAACCGAGGGGCCGTCAACCGATTCTTCAAAAAAAAAAAAAAAAAAAATGTCCATATACCTTAACAGCACCCTAATGTAACATACTTCTTCTGCTCAAAAAGTACTCAAATTTTTTAAATAAAACGCACAAATTTATATTTTATTCCAAATTTATTTTATCTCCTTCAAATATGCCCCTTCTGAAGCGATACACATATGCCAACGCTTTACCCAATCTTCCATACACTTTTCGTAGGCCCGTGAAGGTATGGCTTTTAGTTCCTTCAGCGAATTCTCTTTTACCGATTCTATCGACTCAAAACGCTTACCACGAAAGGGCAGTTTGAGTTTCGGGAACAGGAAAAAGTCGCACGGATCCAGATCTGGCGAATATGGTGAAGAATTCAATTGTTGGCTTTTCACAAATCTGGTCTTTTCTTACGGATGGACTCACGCAAATGCCGCATAACGACGAGGTAATATTCTTTGTTGATGGTATGACCCTCTGGCAAAAATTCGTAATGAACAACACCGCGGTAGTCGAAAAAAACAGTGAGCATAACTTTAATTTTCGAGCGACTTTTGTGCGGTTTTTTGGGGTTTGGCTCGTTTTCAAAGCGCCATTCGCTCGATTGTTGACTGGTTTCGACGTCATACTCCTTAACCCATGTCTCATCACCTGTTATGATGCGTTTCATGAATGTAGAGTCGTTTCCATGCTCAAAAATCATTTCTTCACACACGTTCTTTCGGTATTTATTTTGCAAAAAATCAAGGTGTTTCGGTACAAGTTGAGCTGCAACGCGTCTCATGCCCAATATATCATGTAGAATGTGGTGAACCGATCCATTTGAGATGTTTAAGTCACGAGAAATCTCCCTTTTAGTCATACGACGATCTTCCAGCACAATTTTCTTGATTTTTGTCACGTTTTCTTCGATATTTGATGTTGATGAACGTCCAGAACGAGGCAAAGCTTCGATCACTTCACGACCCTCTTTGAATGATTAATACCACTCGTATGCCTGTATTCGAGACATTGAAGAGTCCCCGTAACCTTTCTGCACCATTTTCAATGCTTCAACACATGAAATTTTGTTGAAAACCCAAAATTTCAAACAAACTTGTTGTTCAACTGAATTTTCCATAGTAAAAATCGCTAAACGCAGTTGAGGTAGTCTCACATTAACAGATGCTGTAAACAAACTAATTGACAGATGGCGCTCAAATTTGTACCATATGTCAAGAAAGGGTGTACCAACATAACAAAAAAAATTTTTGAAAAAGGTCTATTACTTAAGGAGTAGTTAACAAAATCCGGGTACTTATTGAGCAGAAGGTATGTAATAATTATTATTAAATATTCATAAATTTATACAAAATATTAAGTAAACGACAATTTCATCAAAATATCACTTGGATGCAATTTAAACAAAAATTTTTTTTGTCCTCCCTCCTGTAAGCGGACATCTCCCATAACCATACAAAAACATTGCGAGTTTTCGGTCATGAGAAATTTCACTGTAATATAAAAAAGATAAAAAGTAACAAAATTTGCTGTTCGATTAATTGAACGACGGGAGGAAATGAATAAGTTAAAAGCGCACTTATTTTTTAGTATAGAAACAAACAAAAATTTTACTTTTGATGTTTATAAATAAGAAGTAAAGCAAAAATGGCATATTACAGTCGCTTAACAAAGGATAAAAGTCAGAATGTTATTTGGTTGTTTCAAATCCTATATTCAGCCTATTATAACGAAGTGTTCACACGGTATTTCTACTAAAAACAAATATTTTAAATTATTTAAGAGTTAAATGTCATGATAGTGTGAACGCAATTGAAAACATTTTCAGCTGCCAAAATCCCACAAATATGTATAGGACCATTGTTAACCTGGTGGATTTGTGACAAAAGAAATCATATGCACATGCATTTACTTTCAGTTGCTGACTTCAACCAAATCAAAACGTTTTAACTTGAACACCCATACCGAAAATTTCTTAATTTCGCACAGTAAAAGTAATTTTGATTTCGCTTGCTCGGCTCGGTTCCGTAAAATTTGTATGAAGTCATATCAATTTATATAATACGACTAATCGTAATTTTCATCGTGATTTTGATCGTTTGGCTCGCTTGTTACGAAATTAAAATTAAATTACAATTTGATTCCAAAACTTTGATGGACGATTAATTTGTATAAAATTATTAATTTTTTATTAATTAATTAATTACGATTAATTTAAAATCAAATTCGTAATTCACAATAATATAATTGTATAGGAATGTTGTCAATAATTATCATACACTAAAGCAAAACAGAACATTGCTGTTTTGTTGCTGAAAGGTTTGTCAACATTAAAAACTAGAATTAAAAACCATTCTAACATTCTAAAAGGGGTTAGTTTCTTTTAGGAATAGTGAACGGCACTTGTTCGTCGAAATTGAATCATTAAAATTATATGCGTAATTAGGTTTAAGGGTCCATTCGTAATTTTTGCTGTCGGATTATTGAATGGAAGCAGATTTGATGAACTACACAAGCAAACAAAAAGGACAAGATCAATATTCTTTGTACCGTGTAAATAGACATTTATAGCATTTACTCATAAGTTTTCAACAACATTAATCGTCTGTAGTGTCAAATTGACAACTGCGTTAGAAATCAATGGATATCGTTTGTAGAGCACTAAATACTACATTATTTTTATTGATTAAACTTGTTTATTGAAAATCACTTTCAAAGTTTTGAATTTAAATACTTTTTGTATAGAGTTTGAGGAATCTATTTGGCAGAAAGTAAAGAAAAACTATTGGAACATATAGTTTAACACTAACAGTTCGCATCTTTTATTTATATCCAGTTAAGCATTCATATAAATTTTATTTCATATTGCAGATTAATTTAGAAAATGTTATCAAATCAAAATAACATACATATATTCACATTTTGATACTTTTACCAAATGCACATCCCAAAGAACATATCTTATTCATGTCGAACCACACTTACAAGCTAAACGCCATATGTACTTATATTATTTAATTACAACAAATTTTCGATGAATTAAGTAATACAACTTAGCAAACGGTCATTTTTCCAAACATTTCAAACATTAAAGAATATTTAACTTCAATAAACAAAAATAAGAAATAAAATTTAAAAAATTTAGTACATTTTAAGTATAAATTGAGAATGTTTAAAATTATGTACAAAATCCTCAAAGGGCACACAACATTTCTAGTAAATAAAATGCAATTAACCGAATCATATACATATTTAACTGCCAGTTCCGATGCGAGTACGAAAATATTAACCAATTACAAATCTTTACTTAATTTTTTTTTATGAATGCACGATTAATAAAAACATCATAATATGATATCAAGTTTAAAAGTTTTGACAAAAAAATTTTCTGTAATTTCCGAAAAATTCAATACATGTCTCACCTTTACTAAAATTTTATAAATATCAGTCCAATATTTATTATTAAATTCGTTTTTAAACTATATGAATTATTTATTATAATTTATATTAAAAATATAAAAATACTTTTCCCAACTTGTTTGAAGGCAATAAAATATTGTAAAATTCGGAAAAGAATGGCGATTTGTAACTTTCGTTATTTCTTCGTTTCATTTAGTGAAAAACTAATAAACCATTTTTAGTGTGTACAAGCAGGAAAGGCATATTACATCTTAAGGCTCCCGCGTATTAAAAAAAGCGAAGCTACACTATTGTGAATATCGGGAAAACAATCTGACAAAGAAATATAGTCAAATATTAGAGTTACCGCCGTGTGTTACTCGGTCTCCACACTGGCCAGACTTTGACAAGATTTATATATTCAAATATATAATATTCGAATGCACACTATTTGCATTTAATTACAATTACTTAACACGATAATGTTAATTAGAAAATAAATACAAACTTAATTTTCAAAATTAAATACAATAATTTCTGAACGTGTATCATCAGCAAAATTTGAAATTTAGTAGTTAGTATCAATAATTTTTGTTTTTATATATCTAAAAATACATATAATCTATGCATATCTATAAATAAATAATATATAAAAATATGAAATTTTATCTCAAGTGATTTCTTAAAATGATCTCTTACTTTTCTTCATCTTCATACTTTACTTCATCATCTGTAACAGTAGCCAACGTTTTTTGTTTCGGAGTAGCAAAAAAATCCTCGCAATATACGAAAGAAAATATGTGAACCAACAACAATGTCGTTAAAATCTTCAGAGTTAGATGTTACTCACTAAAAATTTTACGTCTTAAGTTTTAGTGCAGCCAAATTCAAAACTCAATCTATTCTGAATGTTCACTGAAATATTGCTATTCTAATATTCATTTTCTTTTCTTTTATTTATATTAAGTAATTTTTAGTGTTTAAAATTTTTATATTTCATATTGTACACAAAACAACAAATATATGTCAAAAAAAAGTATTCAACATGTTTTAAAAGTGATACCAATTTGATTCAACCAGACTTAGTACTGTCTTTTGTACAATTAAAATAAACAATTACTGTTATTATTCCAAACGTAATTTCAAGCTTTTTTCAAGTTTTAAGTCATTTAAGATCTACGCTTAATTTTCACTTTTCACTTAAAATCGATTTTGTTGTCAAATTTATATCGTTGAAAAAAGTAACAACCACTTGATCTCAAGTGTAATCGGTACATAACGATACGATGTTGAAAATTGTATATCTTTAATTTTCACATCACATACAAGAGGTCTGTTTTCATATTTTTCAAGTTGAAGTCAAGTAAAGTTACAAATGATTAAAAATATATTTCATCTCTGAGAAAAGAAGTTTGCATACAACACAAGGGAACCCTTTCGAATAAAAATCTATTAAATCATAATTTTTTTTCTTATGATCATTTTGTTCGACTGAATAAATAATTTTGAAATTTCTTATATATTTCATATTAGTTTATAACTTAATTAAAAAGAAATTATATTATTTTTTAATATTTCTAGATGAATATATGTGATATTTTTAGTAAATTATTTTAAATTGCCTTTAATTGCAGATTCACTTGCAATTTAAATTATACATAGATTTCGTACTGTGAAAAATGTTTAATGTAAATATAATTGTATATAACATAATTATGACAATATATAATGGTCATATTTATGTTTATAGCAGTTATCAGCTGTTTTAAGACTTTAATTGAACAAACTTAGCAAGCAAAATGTACAAAATGACAATTTGCTATCGCAAAAAAAAAAGTGAGAGCACTTTACTAGTTATTGAAATTCAATTGAATTCTACCAAAGTACGTACAAAAGCAGTTGTAAAATTTTAATAAAATGTAGAATAACGGTAGTATATATTTGTAGGATATACTAAATTTCGGTCATTCTGACATATATATGTGCATCTTTTCTTTTCGAAAAGCCATTGTGACAAACTATAATTTTCCTAGTATTTGGTTAAAATACTAAACTGATAAGTTTTTTATATTACTGCAAAAATTATAGCAAAACATATATGTAAAATGTTAAAAAAAAGAAATGTTAAAGAAATACATTAAATAAAACGAAAAAAGAAAGTACATTAAAAGTAAAACACCGAAATTTTTGATTATACGAATAATTCGGTTATATGTTTAATTTTTCGAACACAAAATAAGATACCAATTTTAAGAAATTTATTAACAAAGGACAAATTTTCAAAAGATCTTCAATAAATTTCGTAAATAACACGTATTTGTTATTATTATTATTACATATATTTATAGTTATTAAGTTATATATATATAAAATACGGCAACTCTATAACATTTGGTTACATACTTCTTGTTCTGGTAAGATTACAATCAGGTCTTTGAAAATTTATTTAAAGTATATATAACAGGGATTCAAAACAATAAAATCATTTTATATTCGCACTGTTAAAGGTGTAATGACTTTTATACAATGTTTGCACCATAAATGTGTAAAATTGAAGACTTACCAAAATGTGCCAGGAAACTAATGTATTGTTACTAGACAATACTTTGCGAATATTGCAACTGTGTTAACTTTTAAAAATTACGTTATTCTCACTTAATAAGTGTACAATTTCAATTTATTACTTGTAAAAATCAGTAGAACTCTATTTTGGACTATTTTGACACTGTTCCACACTACATAAGTTTTTTTGTAACGAAAACTATTACAAATTTTTAGTTCAAATTCTCACCAAAATTATGTTTATATCGACACGTTTTAAGTGTAGCTTTTGGAATATCACACACATTTAAGCGTTATTAATCTTTTTTACAAATTTCAGACTTGCCTAAAATACCAAACATTTATATTTTTTCACGACGAAATTTGTCAATGGTCAACGCGACAAGTATGAAATACTACGAAAACTAAATGGCCGTTTCTGCTCACTGTTCGTTTATCTGAGTGAGATAAATATATACTTCGAATCTTCATTCAATTGCTAATAAAGTTTTTTGGTAGAATGCTTAGCATACATCATTAGATATCTTTAAATATTCACAATTTTCTACATCACATACATTCATACCAAGTATATATAATTTCACTTTATAATCAATGACCCAATCATAAATCGGTTTTATGCTAAAATTTGAAACACCAAACTCGTTCTTCAGACAGATTTCGTATAAAATCGGTGTATTTTTGCGAATTCTGGGAAATTTTTGTGTTGCAATCGTATTTTACGTCTACCAAATAATATGTTGCGGGAGAAGAAAATCTATTGTGAACTAAAAATAATTACATTAATAACAATCAAAGAACAATTAATACATCGTACTATTCACACAGCTAAGTAAGTAAAGTTTTGATTGTAATACCACGTTTACATTGCGAGATTAAGAGAACGAGATTAAATTAATCTGCAGTTTTAATTTTGACGTTCCTGGTGTTATGTTTTGGTTCGTGTTTTAATAAATTTCTGTAAATAAAGCATTTATTACAATTTTGTATATAAAACTGTAATATATATTTAATAAATATTTTTATAACAATAATTTAAAAATTTTAGTTATAATTATATATAAAACTATTATTAAACAACTTTAATAGAAATTTCACTCACTTCAGAATTTTCAATACTTGTTTTGAATAGATTTTGATATTTCTTTTTAAGAGCGTAAAAAAATCTACGACATTAAAACATTTCTTCTAAGATCGAAAAAAATCTACGACATTAAGACATTTGCAGAGTTGCATAGAAAAACAATCATCATTTTGAAGGAGATTTAAAACTAATCTCGACGAAAAGGCGATTAACTTTTGTATGGGAAATCTGAGATTAACAACTAGGAAACGACTTCAATCTCGATTTTTGCTTTAATCTACTTTTAATTACACAATGCAAACGCCGTATAATTCTAATTATTCAGTTCGTTTCGCTAGTAACATTTGCATGCAGCAAATTAATTGATCCTATATTCGGATCCTAATTTTGTTTTTGAAGTTTCATATATAATATAAAAATGTCGAACGTTGCAACAAGGCTTTGTTCATAATTTTATTGTTGCAAATTATGATTTTAATTTCGGCTTTTTTGTTTTGTTTGTTTGTGATTGTTAAGAGTATAATGTTGATAGATAGGATATAATGTTGATAGATAGGAAGAATCACAAAATTGTAGGTAGGTTTTGTTTTGATATGATTAGATTTGATTTGATTAGATAATAATATACGGACAGAAGTTCGTATACACCTAATACATGACGACAAATATGTTCTTTTAATCCACTCTAATGAGTCCCAGACGAAACGCGTCAGTGGAAACTGACAGAGGACAGTGACTTTTGTTTCTATTAAGAAACCTCATAGTACTTTCATCGAGGAACACACGTCTTTCGTCTTTCGGTTGAATTTTTATATTCCATATTTGTTTTATATTTTATATATCATTTATTTATATATATTTGTATTGTTATATGTCTGTATAAGAGGTTGTAGCTTTACACCATCATAGTAGAGTGTTTGAGAGGAGAATGAACTTAGGAGACCTAAGGGTCAACCACCGGCATCTTGAAGTGATGAAGATGCACATTGGTGACTAAGCCTACGCTAAACATAAAATTGGCTACACAAGACCAAAAAATGACCGAAAATACAAAAACTGCAGAAAACGCAATAATCACTGCAATAAAGCTGCAAATGCTTTATAAAGGAACAACATTGATTTTTGATTTATACAGTTGGACTACTGGTTCCAAGTCATCCACATAAAGGGCGACAATCAAAAGTTTGGTACGTTTATCGCGGCATTGGATGCGTCGTTGTTAGAACAGATTTATAACACCATACAAAATCCACCAGCAACTCAATAGTACGAAGCTATCAAGCAAGCAATAATAAAAAACTTTGTGGATAGTGAACAAAAACTCATCAAAAATTAATTAGTGGTTTACAGCATGGGAATAAAAAACCATCTTAGACACTACTCGTGCTAATCTCGGTGCTTTGTC